TGCGTGCGTGCGTGCGTGTGTGTGTGTGTGTCTTACTAGGGAACAGAGGAGCAGACGACATCACAGGTCCAGATCCAGAGCAGCGGGGCAGAGAAACACCGGTCATGATAACTGGAGACGGATGAGTGCAAACTGTAATCACATTATATCACATGAATCTGCAGCTCAAACATCATGTTAAAAATAGACATGAGCAGTTCATAGTATTATTCTATCACGTGAAAATAGTCAATAAATAATTATTATACATGTCTAGATGTTATAGTGATAGTGTGCAGAATGTACTGTATTTATGTGATTAGATTCTGTAAAGTAGCTAAACAACAAGGCAGCATGTAAATAATATTTATGCAATGCGTAATGTCCGTATATGTTAAAAGTTATTAATTTTAACAACATAATGGTTATATGCAGGTAAATGCGCTCTTAAAAATACAATTAAACAAATAGGTTGTGACTGGTAGTGTGATATGCATCATTAAAAACGACTTTAAATAATATTTTTCTAAATCCAGTATACTAATAATTTCATTAAAGCCTTAATATACATTAAAATATTATTGTAATTTATAGACTACATATAATATTTAAATGTATATATTCTATGACAAGTACAAATAAGTAAATATAAAATAAATAACATCCTATAATTGAAGGGAAGGAATAATTAATTAATTAATGAACAAACAAACAAATTAATTATCTTTCCAATATATTACTCTAAAATGTTGATGCTGATGTACAGTGAAAAATGTGACTATTTTAACTTTCAGTACTGTTTGTAAATGTAGATGTATTTTCACAAAGATATTGAGAATCTGAACTGATCCCAGCTTTTAATTTAATTCGAAATTAATTTAATTTCTTTTGATGATGTTACGAGAACGTTCAACTTTATTACCATAGTTAACTCAAACTAAAAGCATACAAACATTTTCATTACTTGAAATAAAATATTTTTTAAAAAGTTAAACTTATTTTCAATTTCATTTAATTGAACTTGATGTACTAAAATAACAAACTTAAACTGAAATCAAAAATTAATAAAAAAAGAAAGAAATATTGCAAAAAGAAATAAAATGACAAAACACAACAAAAATACTAAAAACTAAATAAAATTAAGATTAAATCAGAAAATATAAAAATTTAAAATATATTTAAAATAGTGCCGTCAAATGATTAATCGCATCCAAAATAAAAGTTTTTCTTTACATAATATATGTGTGTGTGCTGCGTATATTTATTATGCATATATAAATACACACACATGCATGTATGTATTTCAGAAAAATATGTTATGTTTATATAGCTATTAAATATATTTATTTATTTATTTATTTATAATAAGGATGGTCTGAGTATTGAGAATCACAAAAAACAGACTTTTTAAAATGCAAAACAGGGTAAAACATGAAAAGATGAAGTTTTAGCATCACTAGAAAATAAATCTCATTAGCATTACCATAATGTCAAAAATAATAACGTTTTATATTTAAACTGTAAATCTAATGCTCTTTGTTGTATTTGCTGTGCTGCCTTTAATGTATGCCAATTTACATTCAAAATCTTTGTGTTTGTAATAATTTTACAGTGCAAATGATGGTATTACAGTAATGTAAATCAAATTAGTATTGAGAATTACAAAAACAAAAATATTTTTGATGCAAGTTATTATTTTTATTATTATTTTAGGATATAAAAGGATATTCAAATATGTCTTCCAAACTAAAAATAGCTTAAAAATGTATTTTCTGTTGCAAAGCAGAAATGTTATGAAAGCCAAATCTGCTTGATTTGGCCAGAAGTTGTGAGCATTATTTGACTTTTACCAAGAGTTTTCAGAACGGCTGCAGACGTGTTTCCCAGCATGCTTGTTTTCTGTGTGTCGCTCTTTCATCAGAATCACAAACACAAGCGTGTACTGCTCAAGACACAATCTGATCAGAAATATTTCAGACACAGACACAGAGAGATGCCATGTGTGGATTTATCTCTCTTATGTAGGATTCACCAGTTGTTCTTTAATGTTTTCCTTCTACAAAGATAATGATACAACTAATACAAATATGATAATGTTTTAATACAGTATATATATATATATATAATTCTCAAAATGCTTTCAAAATCTACTTAATCCACAATGTATCTGATCAGCAACTTATCATTAATGAGTAAATGTCACAAAAATTTAATTTTTTTTTATGTTATTACTGCCCTTTTTATTAATTTAAAAATTGAGAAATTCTTTGAAATTTCTAATTATGCATGAACCACACAAAAAAAAACTATAATGCAAAATGTATTTATATATTTTTGTTTTTTGTTTTTTGTTTTTGTTGTTCTTTTAGTGAGAAATTGTATATATTCTCAGGTTATATGTTCTTATAAATTTCATACAATTATATATTCAATAAAAATTTCTCACCAATATAAAAATATATATATATATATTAGTGAGAAATTGTATTTGAATATATAATTGTATGAAATTTATAAGAACATATAACCTGAGAAATACAGTTTTAACTTCATTGAACGACATTGCATTCAATTCTTTTGAATTCATAACTCATTGCTCAAAAACAGTCCAAATTTACCTACATATTTATTTCTAATAAAACAAAATACATATTACTCTGAAAAGTCTTTTTTTTGCATAACCCTTCACTTTCAGATGAATAAAGTGGTCCATTTTTCACACTGCGATAGTTTGTCAATAAATGCACATATTCATATTCATGAACAATATTCAGTTCCAAAAGTGTGAGAGATATGGGGAAAAGGTTTTTCCACTAATACAACTTCATAGATCATTGTATATAAGTAGTTTAACACCTCATGAGACTCTATATCTACAAACATTAAAATGGTTATATCTCATAAAAAATTATTGCAAAAAAAAAAAAGATGTGTATTTGAGGGTTTTAAAGCATTTGCAAAGTTTCATTGCCTTACTAAAAATAATGCTTTTTTTTTTTTTTTTTTGCATATGTCTTCTAGGTCAAAACGCACTCAGATGCACTGGAAATGTGTCTCTGCTCAGTCTGTGTCAGAGCAGAAGTGTGCTGTGTCTAGCTCTGCTGTAAACAGGCATGTCCCAGCGCAGGCCAGTCTTTTGGGGGAAACATCACCTCATGCTGGGCATGCTAATCGCCGCAGACAGCCGCTCTCTTTGTCCCCTCGACACAGAGCCAAAGGGCACATGTAATCAAATTTGCAGTTTTCTTGGCCTCGCTGGTAGCGGGCAGGCCGCCGGCCGATGAATATGTAATGTGTGTTAACGCTCGGGTTATAGATCAAGAAATGAACTTGTGACTAATCAAACATCAATGCGGTCAGCGGTGTGATGGAGAAACTCTAAACTCAGTCCAGAACTAGACCGCGCTGGTCAGATCATTCAAACTCTTCCTCATATTAAGACCAAGATGATGCAGATGGGGTTTAACATAGTGATATCTGTAACTATGTTTACTAAAGAAATGAACACATTCGATTACAAAATAAGAGCCTTGAAAACTCAGAGATGTTTATTGATGAAGCATCTTACATTTTTTGCAAATGATGTATAAAAGCAGTGTTAAGTCTCTGGGGTATATTTGTAGCAATAGCCAAAAATACACTGTATGGGTCAAAATTATTAATTTTTCTTTTATGCCAAAAATCATTAGGATATTAAGTAAAGATCATGTTCCATGAAGATATTTTGTAAATTTCCTACCGTAAATATATCAAAACTTAATGTTTGATTAGTAATATGCATTGCTAAGAACTTCATTTGGACAACTTTAAAGATGATTTTCTCAATATTTAGATTTTTTTGCACCCTCAGATTCCAGATTTTCAAATAGCTGTATCTCAGCGAAATCCTAACAAACCATACATCAATGGAAAGCTTATTTATTCAGCTTTCAGATGATGCATAAATCTCAATTTTGTAAAATTGACCCTTATGGCTGGTTTTGTGGTCTAAGCTCTCACACACATATATATATATATATTCTAGTCCGCATGGTTTTCCCAAACAGGCAGAATTAGTCCTTTATGAAGTGGAGTCACTAAACCATTTGTTCATGTGAACCCATTTAAAGCTTTTATGCCTTTTAAAGGACAACTGAAAAAACCGAGAGCCCTCACTGAGAGTGTCTAAAGAGCCTCTGAATCAAAGAGCACAATGCAGGGAGACCCGGGGCCGAAGCGGGGCCCCTAATGCGTTTGATTCACGCTCGCAAACCGTTCTAGATGCCATTTTCTTCAATAAACATATCATAAACACGTGAAACTGAAAAGGCGTTGGATGAGAGTCAGACTCTACTTCTGATAAAGCAGTTCTGACAACAGTTGAATCATGAAATCTGCATAAATCCTGTATATTCATACTGGTTCAGGTAAACTCTGTTGAGATGTGACTTACTTCATTCATATTCCTAATAGCAGCCAATCACATCCCATTAAATAAATCATTTTTGAACCTGTTTAATGAAATGAACTGTCCAAATGAACCGATTCACTCAGATGAATCAGATATTCTTGAAGAGATAGTTTGATACGCTGTTGTTTTTCAAATACATACTGTATGTTATTTATTATATATTTTAAAATGTTTTTTTCAAGGTGTCTGTCATTTTCATGTGGAAGACATTCAAATTACATTTTATTATAATTTTTTCTTTTTGTAATCTTGAATGGTTTCTGTTATTGGTATCATTTTCACGTGGAGAAAATCATTTAAAAATTACAAATTATTTTATATTTTTATAACTTTAGATCTGTCTATCTATCAAAGGTTTGAGGTATGTTTTTCAAAGAAATTAATACTTTTATTAATCAATGTAACTTGTATAACAGCGTTTATTTGAAATAGAAATCATTTGTAACATTATAAATGTCATATTTGACTCATTTAGTGCATCTAAATGAGTCAAATATGACATTTATAATGTTACAAATGATTTCTATTTCAAATAAACGCTGTTCTTTTAAACTTTCTGTGAATCTGTGAATCCTGAAAAATACAATTTATCACAGTTTCCACAGAAATATTGTGCAGCACGACTGTTTTCAACATTGATAATAATCAGAAATGTTTCTCGAGCAGCAAATCAGCATATTATACTGATTTCTGAAGATCATGTGACACTGAAGACTGGAGGAATGATGCTGAAAATACAGCTGCACATCACAGAAATACATTATACTTTAACAGATATTCACATAGAAAACAGCTATTTGACATTTTTATAATATTTCACAGTTTTTAATGTATTTATGACCAAATAAATGCAGCCCTGGTGAGAAAACATTCAAAAATGGTGTATTTTCATTTCATTATTTATTTATTTACTTAATTTTTTAAAGAAATAAAGCAACTGAGTTTCACACTAATGGTAAATAGCCTAATTTTAGGCCAAATATGGATGCAAAAACACAATAATATAGTAGAAACATTTATTATTTACAGCACAAAAACAACGAAAAACAGACATAAATACACTTGCATCTGGATATCTTTCTTTACAAAGTACATCTGAATAGAAAATAACATTCTTTACATTTAATCTCTATGTACAACAGTCGGAGTGCATCTCAAGAGCTGTGTGTGTGTGTGTGTGTGTGTGTGTGTGTGTGTGTGTGATGTGTGAAGTGTGTACTGGTTTATATATCCTGGTGGGGACTTAAACCTGAATACACACAGACTCATGGGGACTCGTGTCACGGTGGGGACCTAAATTGTGGTCCCCACGGGTACAAAAGCTTATAAATCATACAGAATTAAGTTTTTTGAAAATCTAAAAATGCAGGTATATTTGTTGCAATAGCCAACAATACATTGTATGGGTGCTATTGGTTTCGTTTGAGGGTGCCTAGCTTCAGCATTTGTGGTGTTTCCATTTGCGCGCGGCGGCGGCGATGTGCAGGTCTTTCTTGAGCCACGGGAACAGACTGGACAGCTGGATGGAGCCGGAGGCGCGCATCGTTCCCGTGATGAGGTAGAGCTGCGCGCGGCCGGGGCGGGCCAGCGTGAGCGCGCAGCGCAGGTTGATGAGCAGCCAGCGCTGGATGAGGCTCGCGGTGTCGTAGGGGAGCAGCGGGCCGCGCCGGATCAGCTCCACGGGGCCCTCCACCGTCAGCTCCGGGTCCGCGGAGGGCAGGCGGCGCCGCGAGATCTTGGCTTTGACGGCTGCGGAGAGAAAACACGGTGAGTTAACGTGTCCCAAAAGTCCCTAAACCGCATCACAAGACTCTAACCTTCAACAAAAACCATAACCAAATTGATATGTACAGGCAATAATAATCGCGTACCGAAGTCGTTGAGGCACAGCGCGTCCAGCACGGTTTTGAGAGACGGCGCTTCCTCCACAGACGGACAGCTTTGACACACAGGCTGAGGGAAATCTGTCCACACGAGAACATATACCGTTAAACCAATACATTTACGTTTATTTTTGTATCTGTAAAGCTGAATAAATAAGCTTTCCATTGATGTATGGTTTGTTAGGATAGGACAACATTTGGCTGAGACGCAACTATGATAAAATCTGGAATCTGAGGGTGCATAAAAATCTAAATATTGAGAAAATCATCTTTAAAGTTGTCCAAATGAAGTTCTTAGCAATGCATATTACTAATCAAACATTAAGTTTTGATATATTTACTGTTGGAAATAATCATTTATCTATTATCTGTAAAATTATACAATTTTTACATTTATATAAATTTGTATTATTATTTTGATTTAATTTGATCTGTCTGTCTAAGTGTGTGAATGTCAGAGGGCCTCACCTTTGGAGAAGGCGCTGATGTGTTTGGGCAGCGGTGTCAGACACGTGTCGTCCTGCGCGGGGAATCGGTCGCAGTCCAGGGCTTCGGGC